AAACTATTAGAAATAATCAACAACTACAGCAAAGTTGCAGGGTACAAAATCAACTTACAAAAATAAATTGCATTTCTATACACTAATAACTAAATAGCAGAAAGAGAAGTCAGAAATACAATCCCATTTATAATTGCAACAAAAAGAATAAAATATCTAGGAATAAATTTAACCAAGGAGGTGAAATGCCTATACACTGAAAACTATAAGCATTATTGAAAGAAATTGAAAAAGACATAAAGAAATGGAAAGATGTTGCATGCTCATGGATTGGAAGAATAAACATGGTTAAAAATGTCCATATTACCTAAGGCAATCTACAGTTTCAATACAATCCCAATGACACTCTTCATGGAAATAGAACAAACAATCCTAAACTTTATATGGAACAACAAAAGACGCCGAATACCCAAAGCAATAATGAGTAAAAAGAACAGAGCTAGAGGTATTACAATCCCTGACTTCAAAATACACTACAAAGCTACAGTAATCAAAAGAGCATGGTACTGGCAGAAAAATGGACACACAGATCAATGGAACAGAATTGAAAGCCCAGAAATAAAACCACACATCTGTGGACAGCTAATCTTTGACAAAGGAGCCAAGAACATACAATGGAGAAAGGAAAGTCTCTTCAATAAATGGTGTTGGGAAAACTGGACAGCCACATGCAAAAGAATGAAAGTAGACCATTATCTTGCACTATACACAACAATTAACTCAAAATGGATTAAAAACTTGAATGTAGGACCTGAAACCATAAAACTCCTAGAAGAAAACATAGTACATTATTTGACATCAGTCTTAGCAGTATCTTTTCGAATACCATGTCTACTCAGGCAAGTGATATAAAAGAAAAAATAAACAAATGGGACTACATCAGACTAAAAAGCTTCTGCACGGCAAAGGAAACCAGGAACAAAATGCAAAGACAACCCACCAACTGGGAGAAAATATTTACAAATCATATATCCAACAAAGGGTTAATCTCCAAAATATGTAAAGAATTCACACAACTCAACAACAACCAAAAAAACCAAACAACCCAATCAAAAAATGGACAGAGGATATAAAGAGACGTTTTTCCAAAGAAGATATACAGATGGCCGATAGGCACATGAAAAGATGTTCCACATCACTAATTATTAGGGAAATGCAAATCAAAACTACGAGATATCACCTTACATTTGTCGGAATGGCTATAACTAACAAGACAAGAAATAACAAATGTTGGAGAGGATGTGGAGAAAAGGGAACCCTCATACACTGCAGGTGGGAATGCACACTTGTGCAGCCACTATGGAAAAAAGTATGAACATACCATATGATCCAGCTATCCCTCTTCTGGGTATTTATCCAAAGAACATGAAATCAAGAATTCTAAGAGATTTATGCACCCCTGTCTTCATTGCAGCACTGTTCACAATAACCAAGACATGGAAGCAACCCAAGTGCCTGTCAATGGATGAATGGACAAAGAAGATGTGGTATATATATATGTATATACACACAATGGAATACCACTCAGCCATAGAAAAGACAAAATTATGCCATTCTTGATAACATGGATGGACCTTGAGGGTATAATGCTAAGCGAAATAAGTCAGAGAAAGACAAACAGCACATGATTTCACTCGTAAGATAAATAAACACATGGATAAGGAGAACAGATTAGTGGTTACCAGAGGGGCAGGGGGTGGGGAGAGGACAAAAGGAGTAAAGGGGCACATATGTATGGTGATGGATCAAAACCAGACTATTGGGGCCAGCCCGGTGGTATAGTGGTTAAGTTCACATGCTCTGCTTTGGCTGCTCGGGGTTCACAGGTTCGGATCCCGGGCACAAACCTACACTGTTCATTAAACCATGCTCTGGCGGTATCCCAAATACAAAAAATAGAGGAAGATTGCCACAAATGTTAGCTCAGCAACAATCTTCCTTAAGGAAAACAGAGGAAGATTGGAAACAGATATTAGCTCAGGGCCAGTCTTCCTCACCAAAAACAAAACAAAATAAACTACACTATTGGTGGTGAACACGGTGAAGTCTATACAGAAACTGATATGTAATAATGTCCACCTGAAATTTACACAATGTTATGAGCCAATGTGACCTTAATAAAATAACTTAAAAAAAAAAAAAAGAAGTTTCCAAGGTCCAGGGGAGCATGGAGCCAGAGGTGGCATGACCCTGGCTGAAGAGTGGCGGGGCTTGGAGGCCTTGGGGCGTAGGTAGGTGCCACCGAGGGCTGCACTTGGTAGAAAGAGCATGGACGTATCTCAAGGCTGGCTACACAAGGCCCCTGTAACAAATGACATATTTTTGCTTCCCTTTCAAGTTAGCTTTACTTTTATTCTCTTTCCCATGCGAGCATTCTTATTTCTCTGACCTTTGCTTCTCCATCAGCTTTTATTTCTTATTTCCTTTCTTGCTTTCATCTCCGCGTTTTCTCTCACAACTCACTCCTCAACCTCTCATTCCTCCTTTCCCTCTCCCGTTTTGTCTTTCTCTCCACACTTGCGCCTTCTTGACTTTTAATTTTTCCTTCTGCCCCTTCCTCCGTGTTCTGAAATGTATCTTTTTCGACTGAGGGTTGGGGAGGGAATTTTCATTTGCAACAGCCCTTTTTATGATACAAAAGAGCATCTTGTGTGTGTCTGGGTATCCTAGGAAACAGGACTCTGGTGTCTGAACGCGCAGATTCTAGCTGCTGTGTTTGTAAGACAAGAGCGAGCCAGAGGGACAGCAGTCTCCCCATGTGCATCTCAGAAGACAGTGCCGAGCTCCTTCCTATGTTAGCAGAATCAGCTGAACCGTGACCCCATTTTCCTGGGGTTCTGGTTCTCTTTCACTACACCTGGAAGGTTCTCTTTCTCTCTCTCCTCTTTCCTTTGTTTTTTTCTCTTTCTGTCCTGTGTTTCAGTCCTGTTTTCTGCGTTTCTCCTTGCTCTCTCTTCCCCTCAGTTTTCCCCCACTCATTAGAGATGATATCTCTCCCCTCCCTAGTTTCTCTCTTCGGCCTTGGAAGATAGAGCCAAAAGCAGTGTCAGAGACTCTGCTGCCCATAGCCCCTCCTTTTCAGATGAGACTGTGGAAGTTTGGGTTGGGAAAGATGGAGAAGACTTGGGAAGCTTGCCCAGCTCCCGAGATTCGTTGTGAGAGTAGGACTGGTTTCTGGTTCTTATTTTAAGCTTAGATTAACATAGAATTATAAAATTTTAAAGTTGAAAGACATCTCTATTGGTCCTTTAAATGACCTTCAACGCAATGTCGGAAGCTTCTTTACTTCCTAATAGATAGTCTACAGCCTGCGCTTGAATGCTTTTAATGTTGGGAAGTGTACTACCACATAATGCAGTTCCCTTTGTTGCTGGCCTGCACAACTTGTTTCAAAGTTATTGCTCGTGATTATAATGTCCTGGATTTGTGTAGTTTGTCCCTGTGGGTCCTATATCTGCTTTCTCAAGATATACAGCATAAACCTTTCATTTGAGTTCTCTTTCAAGTATTGAGGGCACTTCAGGTATCTTCTTCAATACTTGAAATATTTCAGAGAGGTTCCACCAAAAATAATTAAATGAAATAAACCATTCTTGCCACCCTTTGACTTTACAGAAAAATCAGTTTGCTGAATGCCTCATTCCCCAATAGTTCCAGATAGCTGAAATTGTCCTGGAGAGGTTATGAGGGAGAAAAGGCATTTCACTGCAGAAGGAAGGCTAAAATTAAAGTTGCAAAAAGAAGATTATTAATATTTGTGTTAGACACAGTGTCTATTTTGTGCATTGTAGTTTACAGAACATTCTTAATATTCAACACCGTGTCATTTCATTTTTATAACTAGGCCCTGGTACTGCCTCATTTTGTACATAAAGGTAGTAAGGCTCACAGAGGTTGAGTGACTTGCCTCAAGTCACCCAGTTCTCAAGTGCATGAGTCAGGAGTTAAGCCCAGTTCTTTGACTCTTGGTCTTCTGTGTCTTTTATAAATACTGAAGTGTCTCTGTCTCTCCAAAGTATCTGCAATGTCATGGGAAATAAATTGTCTCCTCAAGACAAGGTACTTGGTGTACACAATCTAATAGGATTGTTATGGATTTTTGTTTCTTTCTGGATATGGCTGTGGAAGTGGAAAAATGGAGGCAAAGAAACCAAATCCAGGTCATGCAGTGTTTTGGGGCAATTATAAAAATACTGGATGGGAACCAATGAAGTTACTCCCTAACATAAGCATCAGTGAGATTGACTGGTTTGGTGAAAATTCTAAGTGTCAAGGTGGAGAAGAGTGAGTTACTCCTTTACTACAGTTGATCCAGAGAAAGTCTGAAGGAGACAGGGGTCAGGGTAATTTAAGAAGATTTTGAAATAAAAAATGTGAGGGGTAAGGGCCAGCCCAGTGGCATAGTGGGTAAGTTTGCATGCTGTGCTTCAGCGGCCTGGTGTTCACCGGTTCGGATCCCAGGCGCGGACCTACAGACTGCTTATCAAGCCATGCTCTGGCGGCGTCCCACATCTAAATAATTAGAGGAAGATGGGCACAGATGTTAGCTCAGGGCCACTCTTCCTCAGCAAAAAGAGGAGGAGCGGTGGCAGATGTTAGCTCAGGGCTAATCTTCCTCAAAAAAAAAAAAAACGTGAGGGCATTGGTAGGTTGGAAAGGGGGGAAGGAGGTTGGCAAGGGGCAGAGATGGAAAGTAAGGGACAGGTTTGGGGGCAGGAAGAGGACAGATGCTGGGGACCTTGTGTTTTACTCATGATTTGGAACTAGGATTCTGATATGATGATACGTTTTCCTTCTTTGTAAACTGAAACCCAGATGTGGCTAAATTTAATGCTGCTCAGAACCACCGTGATTCACCTGAGCTCAGGTGCACCCTCACGCAGCTGGCGTCGGCTCTGTGTGCTTTGCAGGCTGATCTTGCTTTAACCCAGCTTCCCGTATGGAACCGGGGGAGAAAGCCAGACTGTGATAACCTTGACCCTCTGTGTCTCCATCCGCAGCATCCTGGCCACCGCGGGAACCCACTTCAATACACACGTGGACCTGAGGACCCTCCGGGCCGTGCGTGTCCTGAGGCCCCTGAAGCTCGTGTCAGGCATTCCTAGTGAGCATTCACCTTTCTTCTTTCTCCTCTGCCGATAGCTTTACGGACATGTCATCAGCTGGGTCCAAGGGCTAAGAGAATTTGGGGGAAACAAAAAACAGTTCCTCTTGGAGGAAGCCCCAGTGGTAATAAATAGTGGGGATGTAGCAGCTGGCATAACATTTCATTTTTAAATTTAACAGCTTTATTTTTGGATAATGAAAAATTTTACAGAAAATTTAGAAAGTAAAGCAAATGATATAAAATAAAAATGAAAAACACTCATCCTATGACTCAGAAATAACTTTCGTTAACATTTTAGTATATGTTTTCATTCATTTTTTCCTGTGCATTTTAATATAATTGGGACCGTTCTGTATATATAGTTTTGGATTTTGTCATAAGCATTTGATTTTCCTGACATTAAAAATTCTTCAAAAATATCATTTAAAATCTGTATTGTAGTCTTTGTTAGATGGGCCATGACTTATTTAGCCATTTTTATGTTGCTGGTTATTTGTAGCTTTTTCCAGCTAGAAGTAGTGCTACAACAAACATCTTTTTACTTAAATCTTATTCAGATCTCTGATTATTTTCTTAGAGTAGAATCCTAGAGTACAACTTCTGGGTCAAAGGATATGGTATTTTATAAATGGTGATTTTACTAATTGTGCTCCCCCAACAGTGATGGGAGAGCTGCGTCTGAGATAGATAGAGAACAAAAGATCAACTTCGTTCTTGCTCTCAAAGGACTTACAGCCTAGCAGGGTAATTCCCTTTTGGAAGGAAGCACGTTCTACTAAGTTTAATCTATAAGGAGAATCCAGGAGACACCATGGGTGAAACAAACGAGGGAAGGCTAATAGGCATGTAAATGATCAGGGAGTGGTGAGGAGGAGGACGGGATTGGTCCCCAGGGGAAGGGATGATGGCCATCTTTGGCTTGACTTGTCATGCTTATCCTTTGGTGAATTTATCATCTCAGGACCCATGGTTCTTTTCCCTCAAAGACTTGCCCTTCTCCTAGGAGAGGGTAAACTGAGGCTGCTCTATCAGATGGTGCTAAGTGAGGGCTCCGCTTACTGTTCTCTTTCCTTCCCTCCAGGCCTGCAGATTGTGTTGAAGTCCATCATGAAGGCCATGGTGCCTCTTCTGCAGATTGGCCTTCTGCTCTTCTTTGCCATCCTGATGTTTGCTATCATTGGCTTGGAGTTCTACAGTGGGAAGTTGCACCGAGCATGCTTCATGAACAATTCAGGTAGGGTCACTATTTTGTCCTCTACTTCTTCCCTTCATCTCCCTTTGGGTGTTTGGGGCAATTTCAGGGCATTTGGAGACTGGTTGGAAAAGTATGTGCTATCCCAAGCCTAGAATTAAAGTCAGAAAATTCCCAGGAAGCAGCCTTTTGAGGCACAACCAGCCTAGACTAAAGATCTCCATTGTACACTGATATTGCAAAGCAAATAACCTCTGAGGTCTGCAGTCAGAGGATTTCAAATAGGATGTCTCAGTTCCCCCGTCCCATGGTAGAAGGCTATCAGAATGCAGGTCAGAAACCATTTGTCTGACGAAATACTGTTCGTACAATGGCCTCTTTGGCCCAGAAGCCATGGAGACCCAGGAATCCAGAGTCTCTGGAGTCAGACTTGCATCCCTCCAGGTCTGTGGAGACGTTTTTCTTCTATGCTCCATCTCATGATCTTCCCCTCTCTCTGCCATGACCCACACATAGTGTAAAGGACTGAGGGAGCTCTGAGCTTGGCTTGGCAGGGGGTCCTGGGAGATGGGTGGGGGTACACAAACCCCAGATTCTTGTCTCTTTGTATCATATGGTTCTTTGCAAGTTGAGTAGAGTACCCTAGGAGGGGTTGAAGAAGCCCAATTAAGTACCATGTTTTTTTATGAAAAGGATCTTCAAAGGGCACCTTCCACCTTAGATTTTTTTTTTTATTTCTGTCTTATTCAAGACCAGGAATTTAGGCCATAAAAACCAGTAGTTAAGACCTAGGGAAGGGACTGTAGTATATAATTGTCCCCAAGGGGCCCAAAAAGAACTCAAGGTTTATCCTGGAGTCTGAAGTTAGAAAATCAGTAAGATTCTGCCTTCACCTCAGACCTTTCTGTGTGATCCAGTCCTGTGAATTCTGTGGTTCTCAGGCAAGGGGAGAGGATGTTACCTGCAGAAAGTGGGCCAAGTGGAGAAGAGGCTCCACTTTCAGAGGAGGTTGGGAAATATGGGCTTGAACACGTGGACTGTGAGCTGTGAGGCGTAGAGAGGCCAGAGCGGAGGGAGACTGAGATGAAGGACAAACCTTTCTGTGGGAAATAGAATTGTGTGCTTGTGGCTTCCTGGGGTCATTTCGAGATCATTCTAAACACCATGTGGTTTATCTTCCACCCTCCAAATGTGTCTGCAGGTATTCTAGAAGGATTTGACCCCCCTCACCCATGTGGCGTGCAGGGCTGCCCAGCTGGTTATGAATGCAGGGACTGGATTGGCCCCAACGATGGGATCACCCAATTTGATAACATCCTTTTTGCTGTGCTGACTGTCTTCCAGTGCATCACCATGGAAGGGTGGACCACCGTGCTGTACAATGTGAGTAGAGCTGGCTGGGGGAGGGAGCAGGAAGGAAGACATGTGGAATGAGCCTTCTGGGATTGTTTGGGCCGGTCAGCCTGGGGAAGAGGAGGGCTGGGGATGTGTGTGTGTGTAGACTCAATCATGGGAAGGCTTTGCAGTTCATATCCTTCCACTGTCTGGCCTCTTGCTAGGTAGAAGCACACTGCTTCTTAATACGGTTAGGAAATTGCATCTCGCGTTGGATGGGTGAATAAACCAAGTTAAATCAGATCACCTCAGCAGTTATAGAGTATGTTCTGCTACAGCTTTGACGTGGTAGTGGGGTTTGGTGAGGGGTACCAAGATGTATCGATTTCTTGGCTGCTGTCTTGAAAGAGCTTACCATCCGTTGGTGTGGGAAGATATTACGGTAGTTCTCAACCTTGGCAGTATGTTAGAATCAGCTGGAGCATTACAAATTTACATCACCTGGGCTCCACTCCAGACAAATTAAATAGGTATAGCTAGGGGTAAAGACCTATCATTTTTAAAGCTTCCTAGCTGATTCTCATATGCAGCCACTGTCAAGAACCATTGCATTACATGCATGTAAGAAACATGCTTAATTGTAAGACTCACTAGGGATGCTTGTTAAAAATTCGGATTCACAGGCCCTTTCTCTGCACGTTTTGATTTTGTGTAGCTGTGAATAGTTGGTGAGCTGTACTTTTTACAAGTGTCCCTGGTGATTCACATGATTGGGCATGTTTGGAAGGTTCTGAGGTGTGCATAAGACAAGGCTGTCTAACTGCCTGTCAGGGATGCTGGGGAATTTTTGCATGGGGACAAGGTTAGACAGGGTGACCACTGAAGTCTCTTCTGCCTCCTGGAGTCTGATTTTAACAATTTATGAAAGGCATGGTGCAGAGTCTGAGTTCTAAATGAGAACTTAGACTAAATGGGGAGATGCATAGGGAGCCTAGGTGGGCAAAGCAATTTGGGCAGGTTGCCTTTGTAAATAGGTGCTTACAAAGGTCTGTACCCTCATATGCATCCAGCCAGCCCACCTCAAGGTAGCTACCTTTGGAATAGTCATCTTTTACCTGCACTCCCACAGCCTGCCTTTATCCTAAGGTGCCCTCTGTTTCCTTTGAGCCTGATTCCATCTGTATAAAACTTATTGGGTGGGGCATGGCGTGGCTTATACAAAGGCCCCTTTAGAAGGAGCTCTGGGTATAATCTACACTGGAGGGAAAGGAAATGCTATGTCTCAGAATGGACTCAGTCAGATTATAACGCCTGGAGAGCCAGGATGTGTGTAAGACCTGTAATACTAGGTGCTTGGTAAATGTCCATTACTAACCTGGATCCATTCCCATATAGCTGGAGCAAGGCAGGATGGAGCTTTGCAGAAAAGAGCCATAGGCTGTTATGCTAAAGCTCTAAAGGGCAGTGAGGAAGTCCCAAGGGCCAGCTTATGCCCAGCAAGCCCAGGGATTATGTGTGACCTAGAAAAACCTTGAGGACACTCTGGGATTCTCACCAGTTGTGAGAGGTGACAGGAAGGAGGGAAGGGAGGCAAGATTGATGCATGCAGTCGCTCCTCATTTGAGATGTGAAGAATGTCTTGAGGCCATGTCACTCAGACTAGCCAGGTGCCTCTGGAAATTACAGCACTGGCCCCACAGTGGCTGGTGTCACTTGTGGGGCTTTGGGAGTGATGTGTTTCAATTACATGTGTAGACTCACCTAAGTGATGTGATAAATGCATTGAAAGCCTGAAAGGGGAAGTGTTGTATTTGAAGATACAGGCGCAATCTGTTGGTCCTCTGGAGCCAAGGCTCAGGTGGTACTGAGACAAGCAAGAGCACAGCTGGAGAATCACTCATCACTAGCATTAGTTCCTTTGTTCATTCATTCATTCATTCATTCTTTCAACACATGTTAAGTGAGCATCTACTGTATGTCAAGCACTGTGCTAGGCATTAGAGAAACAGAGGGAGAAAAAAAGTGCCACGTTCCCTGCTCTCATAGTGCTCTCTTCAAATTCCCTTCTATCTCCAGTTATCTACCCAACATAGGGATGGAGGTCACATGAAGGGACAGTGATCTTGCTCCCCTCCCTAGGTTTGCTCTATCAAGGAAGCAGGGAGGAGAAGAGGTCAAACTGCAGATCCCCTGAAACCTTTCATTGCATGGGCTCCCAGGGCTAGACTCACGCTCCCTCTGACTTCCAGGCCATCAGTCATTGAACTTCAGTTTACTGAAGGCCTCCTATGCTACCCCTGTGGCTGGATCCAGGGTTGAGGGAACTAGTTGAGCTGTAGGGCTGGTTTCCAAAAAGAGGCTGGCTTCTCTTGGGGCAGAATGAACTTAGGTCCACTTAGAAATGACATCACTTTCCAATGCATTGGATCTAAGGGCAGAGCATGGAGCGGGAATCCATAGGCAGAGGTGATAGGCATAGTTAGGTGGATAACTACACCTTGGTACAGGATAAGTTGGATGAAAAAGGCACCCAGTTTTCAGCCAGTGGAAAAGGGTAAAGTCTGGCTCTGTAGGAAGAGAGAGCCAGCAAAGGCTGGGCTTCACTTGAGCAGCGAACTGTTGGGGAGCGAAGCATGACCCAGGCAGAGCTTTCTTACAGGAGCTGGATGCAGATGCTGGAGTTAGGGTTGTCTGCTGACAATGGAGAAGCAGGTTCAGAGTAGTGGACTCTTCATGCTGTTGGACATAGGGCTTGCAGTATATGGTGGAGTCGCATCATTTAAGCTTTAAATTTACCCAAATTCACCCATTCAGCTTGGGTAGGAAAGAAGGACTGGGAGAGGGAGGAAAATAGCGATTTAAATAGTACAGATTAATTCACCTCCCTTTCCTCTGAATGTGCTTATTATGCCCATTGAAAGTGTGAGATTAGAGTTGCCTAGGATCTTGGCTGAAAAATTGAAGATTCTAGTAGCCCGTGTCAACAATACCTGAGTATTTTTCTTTCTTCTCTTAATTTTAACTCAGGGCTTTGTAATGACAAAATTTTACGTATATATTAGAACTGGTTGCACACCGTGGAATTGCCTAAGAACAACTAGTCAACTTAATATTATAAATACATGTATGTATTATGTACGTTTCTGCATATAGAGAAATTGCTCACTGTGCTATTATCACCACCACCACTAATAAGATGCAAATATAGCACTCTTCATTTCCCTTTCTACCACTTATTCTGAGAAGGCCCAATTCATCCAGCTGCTGTATTTCCACACACAGGCCACACTGAAAAGGGGAGCTCCTGTTTCCCCATCCAATGCCTCTTCTGTTCAACAGCAGCAACAAATATGTAAAATTTATTGGCACCAGTTTCACCCAAACCAATTGGAGAACCTTTAGGTTTACACTGCACACAGAAGCTCTCTCAAGCATGGGGACTCAGTTTAACCTTTTAATATGCAACTTAAATACTTCCTTCCTGTTTGCATCCCTTTTCTGCTGAGCAGGCTCTTCCTGAATGCCTCCTGTGACCCGTGTTGTCCGCCATTGATTACTATTAACTTCTTTTGCATGTAGCTTTTCTCATGATTACGTATTATTATAAGTGGGGGAGGGTTCCATTGTCAGGGCATCCTGGAGTCCTGCATGCTCAGTTTAGTCTCTACCCAAACTTCAACTCTGCTTGGTCAAACTCCAACTGTTTTCTTGGCTTCCCTCCCTCTTGTGGTAGAAAGAATGCAAAGCAGTCTATGCTTCTGCTGGCCGCTGTTTCCTGTGTTGACTGTCTCTCCAAAGGTCTCCTCAACTTGCAAACTCTCCCCTATTCTTAGTAGTTTAATTCATTTTCTTTCTCCTAATCTGGATAGGGGTTCTGTCTCCAGTACAATACATTCTCCCTCTGATCAATGTTGTTCACTCTACAGATGTTACTGTGGCTCCAGTGTTAACTTCTACCCTCTTCTCCTGGGCTAGATGTGGCTCTGAGAACTGACTTTCTCCTGATTCTGGTCTGAGTCTTATTTCTCTGTTGTCATTCTGGATTTGTGTTATCTGCTGTTTGTGTTATGAGGACTAATATACAGATTGCAGAAGTTCCCAGTCTCTGTTTGCGATTTCTCGAATCTGTGCTCTGAAAGTTCAGTATTTTTCATCTGAATTTGTGTAGCTTGAGCTATTTCTCTTCTCACTTGATATTGGTAAACTCATGCAGATGTGGAAATTTCTTGGAGGTGTGCTGTTTCTCCAGCTTTGCAGGTGTGAAAATAATGACTGCCTAGGACACTCTGTGTTGCTGTGGTGCAGGAAATTTTTGTAGACTTTACTGGCTTTTGGCAAGAAGAGGCAACTTGTAGTCTGGATGCTTTCTGAGAGTCTTCCTGACTCATCAGAAGTCCTTTGGTCTCCAGCAGTGCCTATGGCCCTTTTTAAAATTGTCTTCTCCCAGCTGCACATCGTTAATTTTTGTTAAATGGTTAACAGCTATCCACTTTTTGCCTCGTTGACATTTTGCTTGTCTGTGTTATGCATAAGCACATTGAAAGAATAACGCCATATCCAAGGGTTGATGAAAAACTGCCATCTCCAGTTTCCTGAAGTTTCTACGATTTGATGGTATCTACAGAGAACGCTTTTGGTTCTGAGTTCCACAAGGGGATATGTCTACTCGTCTTTGCTTCAGTCTTCCCCCACCACCTCCTACACATGCCCTGGGAACAGAACATACTCAAAACTCATTTGACAAATAAGGGACAGGAACCTACCATCATCTTATGGTGGTAGAGCAATCAGTTGTACCAGCTGACCTAGGATGAGGTATATAGTTGGTAAAATCTGTAGACTTCTGTATCCAGGATCAGTCATGCTTTGAATTAGGCTGTTTTTCCCCATATCCCTGTCTGTACTGCCTCTTCCTGTGTCCGTGCAAGAGCCTGGGACCCTGTAATACAGATGACACTTGGAATCTGATACCAGTATCCCTTCACCTGTGACTTGTCTTGTACACAGAGGGGTTGATGAGTGGATCCTCAGGGGACAGAAGTTAGTCT